TTTCCTGGTCTTTTTGAGACAGGGTCTCCCTGTAGCCCCAGCTGTCCTGGAACTCACTATGTAGACCAGGCTGGCCTTGAACTCACAGAGATCCACCTGCCTCTGCCTCCCAAGTGCTGGGATTAAAGGCGTGCACCACCATGCCCAGCTAGCATTCTTTTACAACTCAAGAGAGTACCTACTCTGAATCCATGTTGATCTGTCTTGAGGGTGATTCTCACCCCCTGCCCTTGCCCTCACCCCAGTGACCTAATCATCTACTCTGCCCTACCACTTAAATGTCCTGCCATCTCTTCATATTGGAATGCCAGGGCCCAAGCCTTTCCACTCAAACCATGTCAGACCATAGCAGATACTTGTGGTCTTGATTCTGTTTAAGGTTGGCTTTGATGTCTTCGTGGCACTTTTAAGTGAGGTCCATTCCCTGGATAAGTGGGTACAGGGCTCTCCTGTGCAGCCTGCCCAGCCACACACCACACAGGAGTGGGCCAGGCCTCTCTGCAGGGATCCTCACCTGCTGCTGCACTGTCCTCATCCTCCTGCTTCTCCTTCCAGCTCCTGCTGGGCAGTGGTGTGGGGACAGTACGTCTTTATGACACAGAAGCCAAGAAGAACCTCTGTGAAATCAACATCAACGACGATATGCCCAGGTGAGCTGCAGCCTCCTCAGACATGGTCAAGGCCACAGGCTGCTACAGATGCTTTGTGGGCCCCATCTCCTGGAGTGGGGTGCAGCCTCAGAGATGAGGCACACCCTCCCTCTGTGGACTGCTATCATCTGACTCCAACCCGTGTGTGTTGCAGAATCCTGTCTCTTGCGTGCAGCCCCAATGGGGCCTCTTTCGTCTGTTCGGCTGCAGCTCCGAGCCTCACCTCACAGGCGGACTCCTCAGCCCCAGATATTGGCAGCAAAGGCATGAACCAGGTTCCGGGCAAGCTGCTGTTGTGGGACACCAAAACCATGAAGCAGCAGGTACAGGACCTGCCTGCGGGTCACCCTGGGACTGGGTATGCGGCTTAGAGGGCACACTGTGTATGCGGCACACTGCCCAGCTCCCACACTCCCTATTTTTGATGAGTCTTTTCTTCCTTTGTTATGTTGATCTGAGAATTGGAGTGTGAGAACATTTCTCACAGTGTTGAAAAGTAGCATGCCCCAGGTGGGCAGATTGAGAGCAACAGAATTGTGGGACAGATGCAGAGGCCACCCAGAACCTGCCAAAGGGCCATGTGTCTTACGTTTTAGAAGAGGACCTCAGTCTCCCTCCAAAGCACTAATTTTGGGCTGTGTGAGAATTATGGCAGCAGCCAGCAGGATTAAGGATCAGGGTGACAGCTGGTCACAAAGCCCATGGCTAGCTCCTGAGCACCTGGCCCATCCTCTTGGAGCCAAGAGCCTGCTCCCTCCAGAATAATAGTGCTTGTAGTAGTCCCCATTGCCCTGGAGCGAGAAATGACGTGAAACTCACCTGCTTAGAAGGCAGGAGTGCAGCCTGACAGTGCTTTAATCCCAGCACTGAGGAGGCAGAAGGTGGATCTCAGAGACTGAGGCCAGCTGGGGCTACAGAGAGACCTTGTCTCTAAAAACACAAACAAACACAAAACCAAAAAAAAACAAAAACAAAAAAAGGATAGCAGTGCTTATTAAAGCAACTGGTTTCAGTGCTCAAAAGTGGCATGTTCTTTACTGTGCTACCCACCCTGTTTCCTGGTGTTCCTAGCACTCGGCAGGGGGTCTCTGCCTAAGAGGGACCCAGTTCCAGATGTGCAGTTTATACCTCTTCCTGCAGAAATAGCATGTGTGCCTGTTGGGTCATCTCATGGACCTCTCAAGTCTTGTCTGGGCCACACCTGAATTCTTACCTCCACTCTACCACATCTTCAGTCTCTTCCTAACTTTCCCCACTCGGCAAATCTGTCCCACTTAGATACTGGGTGTCTTCCTGAACCCTCTCCCCTCTGCCCATGTAGTCGGTGCCACCTCCAAAGTGTGCTTCCTGGCTGACCATCTCCCTGCATCTCCAGGGAAGCCGCCCAGATCCATCTGCAGGACTGCTTGGTGGGACAGCAGCAAGGCCCTCTGGTGGCCCCGCTACCTGTCCTCCCTGCCAGTTTAATTCTGCCTGTTCATCATTGGCACTCTGCTGTCCTCCTTTTAGCAGGAGTTGTAACCTTATGTTTACTCATGGCTTTCAATTTTTAAAATTAAATATTGAACTTTTACAGAAGAATATTGAAATCATAGCTGAGTAGAAAAGCAGCAAGAAGAGCACCTCATGTCACCAGTGCTGCTTTCAGATTCTAAACTCACTCTGTGTGTCTGTGTCTGTGTCTGTGTCTGTGTCTGTGTGTGTTTTTGTGTGTCTATGTGTGTAGGCCCACATGCCATAGCATACATGTGGAGGTCAGAGGACAACTTGAAGAAGTCGGTTCTCTCCTTCCCCCATGTGGATCCTGGGGATTGAACACAGGCTGTCAGGCTTGGCAGCAAGCACCTTTACCTGCTGAGCCAGCTCACTGGCCCCACCAGAGCTTCTTGTGCCTTGGTGCCCTTTCCCTGACTCTGCGACCATTCCCTCTTCACAGAGAACCTGTCTTGAATTTTGGTTTGTTATTGCCTTACAGTTCAGAAAGTGCTTTGCATATCAGTAGATATCTGCACGGCCTTGCGTGTTTTCTAAATTATACGTATGTGGATTTGAAGTATGTATATTTTTCTGGAGTGTTGTATTCTAGTTGGAAACTGGTCTCTCTCCTAACTCTCTTGTACCGTCTTCTCTTCTTGGCTGTGCTGAAATGGTCTCTTATGGTGAACTAGCCTTCCCTTGTCAGCTGTGGCTGATTTTAAGATCTTCTCTGGGCATCTGATGTGGTGGTGCAGGCCTATACACCTAGCACTGAGGAAAGGGGGCAGAAGGACCTGGAGTTCAAGGGTAGCCTCTGATACATGAAATCCTGCTTCAAAAATAATTGAAATGAAATTTCCAGCCTCGACAAGTAAATAGAATAAAACAAAATAAAATTCCAGTTCTGGATTTGTGGGTTTCTGAATCAGAGGATTTGTGTCTTTGCTTAATCATGGAAAGTTCTTAGTCGTTTTTTTCCCAGTGTTGACAGTCCTCTGGGTCTCTCTTGTCTTCTGGAATGCCAGTTAGATCACTTCAGAACTTACCTCCTTTTTGTTTCAGTTTTCTGTCTTCATTATCATGATTCCCACAGCTTTATCAGATGTAGCTGATCTTCTGTTTAACCCGTGAGGACGTCATCTCAGTTACCATGTTTCTCCTTTTCAGAAGTGCAGTGTCATTCTTTTTTTTTATTATTTTAATTTTTATTTTGTGTCTATGAGTGTACTGCCCGCATGTATGTAAGTGTACTTGTGTCGTGCAATGCCTGTGCAAGTCAGAAGAGGATGCTGGATTCCCCTGGGACTGGAGTTACAGATGATTGGTTGTTAGCCACCATGTGGATGCTGGGAATCAAACCCAGGTCCTCTGCAAGAGCAGCCAGTGCTCTTAACCACTGAGCCATCTCTGCAGCCCTGCAGCGTCATTCTTACAACCTACCTTTGTCGTACTTACAGTTCCTATTTTTACCCATACTTTCAGACATTTTGCTAAGCATACTGAACGCATTCAGATGTTCTAGAAATTCCATTTTGTTTCTGCCATCTTTGGGATCTGTTCTGCTGGATACTCACTCCTTTTACCTTATCCTCCCATATCCTGTGAATTTCAGCTGTGGTTCTGGGCCCCTTGTCCTAGTGGATTCTTTGAGGCTTGTAGGGAAGTCATTTCTTTGGAAAAGTTTTGCATTCAGTTTTGCTGGGTACCTGAGGGCTTCACCAACCACTGACAACTGAAATAGCTTCTCAGACTACATAAGGACTTGGAATTTACGTTATAAACACACATCAGTTTACAGTTATAATTGGCAGAGAGGGAACTTTTCTTGTTACCACTTTCTGTGAAGTTGTAGTTTATTCCTGTGCTGAGGTATACTTCTTTGGAGTCTCAGTGGTCTGTGAGAATTTCTCAACACTGGACTTGGTAGGCTCTTCATTCACTTTGGGCCTCAGGCTTGTGCGTGTTCTCTGCCTATCAGAGTGAGAACTCGGTTCACCAGTCCATGGGGGTCTTGCTTTCCCCTCACTTTCTGGCCTAGTGGACTCTTGTTTTAGCTCAGCACTGTGCATGTTTGTGTAAATAACATTATGTAGCAGTCTGCTTTGTGAGTTTAGTCTCAGGAGGGTTCCATACTGTTTGAAATGGTTTCTTCATTATCAAATGACTCAGTAGACTGTAAGTTCTGTGAGGTGGTTCTGTTAACTCCTGTATTTCCAAGTGGTTTTGTGGAGAGATGTCTGGCAGGATGGGAAGGGGCTAGATGGACATCTTTGGGGGTTGTGGTGGTTTGAATGAAAATGTACCCCCTAGGCTCCAAGTATTTGGACAGGGTTTTGTCCCCAGTTGGTGGCGCGGTTTTGGGAGGTCGTAGAAGGTGTGGCTATCCTGGAGGAAGCACATCAGTGGGGGTGGGCTTAGAGAGTTCTTAAGCCTTGCTGGATCTCCAGTCGCTCTCTTGCTTCCTGTGCCTGCTTGAAGATGTAGAACTTAGCTTCTGCTCCTCTTCCAGCCACCTCTGCTGCCATGCCTCCCTGCTGTGATGGACTGTAATTCCCCTGGAACCGTAAGCTCAAATAAACTCAGTGTCACAGCAACAGAAAAGTGACTAATACAGGGATTGTGCATGGTCAGTCCTCCATCACACAGAGCTGGCTGTGGTGAAGGGCAGTCGATGACATGTTAGTTCCTGCTGACAATGTGAATTTTCAGTAAGACTCAGCTTGGAGCAGCTGAATAAAGTATGGGTTCTGAGGTCTGGATTACTCGTAACTGAGCCGGCATGGATTATTGCCTCAGTATGGAAACCAGAGTGTCTATAGGCACAACAACCTTGTTATCAAAAGAACACAGCCAATCACTGTACTGTGACAAATGCTAAGATCCATTTTTCCAATATCAGGTCATAGCAGGGGATCCAGTGGGGCGTCTGTGCCTGCACCTGAGCCTGCACCTGCGCCTGAGTCGGACTAGTCTGCTAAAGCTGCCTTCGCTTGCTTTTACAGCTCCAGTTCTCCCTGGACCCTGAGCCCATTGCCATCAACTGTACGGCCTTCAATCACAATGGGAACCTGCTGGTCACGGGGGCAGCTGATGGTGTCATCCGACTGTTTGGTATGCAAGTAATGCTATGGCAGTCCTGGTCCTCTCCTTAAGTGGCCCATCTGAGCCAAGGCTGTTGCAAAAGCCTGTTTCCAAATGCACGTTCTAGAGCATGACTTTGATCAGGGTTTTCAAAACACCCATATAGTCAACTTGCACATGCTCAGTATTGGTACACATGGGAGGGGTGGAGCACAATAGTTCCTTGGCCTTCAGCTGATTGATCTGAGCCCTGGTCACCTGTGTGTGATGCAGGAAGTCACACGAGAGTGGTGCCATCTGTCCTATTCACTTGCTGCCTGTGGCTTGTCTTCTGTCCCCACGGAGGTCCAGGGTCTGAGATGGGATGAGGCCACTGTATATAATGGATCCCCAGGGTGTGGGGGGTGGGGGCAGTTATGGAAGCTTGGTAGGAAGTAGTCCTGTGTTCTAGACTGACAGGACTTCCAGATGAGCTCCACCCCCCCACCCCCACCCCGGGGAGTTCCAAGCCTCACTTTTGACCCAGTAAAGAAGTTGCTTCTGTAGCTCAGAGGCTGGTGGCCTTGGCAGGGTCAGCACTTTCGGGCCCAGGAGGACCTTGGCCTCTAGAACCTCTGCCACCAAGTGTCGGGAGCATAAGACCGGGCGTCTGGTGTGTGCCAAGGCTTTCCCAGATGTGTCCCAGGCTAAGTAGCATCTTGGTCCCTCAGACATGCAGCAGCATGAGTGTGCCATGAGCTGGAGGGCGCACTGCGGGGAGGTCTACTCCGTGGAGTTCAGCTGTGACGAGAATGCCGTGTACAGCATCGGCGAGGACGGCAAGGTAGGTGCCAGCAGCATTGTTGGTGGCTGGGCCGCGAGCTCTCCAACCATGGACCTCGTCCTGCCATTTTTATCTTCTGTAAAAGAGGGTTACATAGGGATCTTGTAGCATTTTTGTGGGATTCAAAGGAGTGCAGTGGACTGGAAGGGAGTACCATGTGCTCCTGATTGTAGCAAAACTGGCCCATCCCGCCATACATGGATCCACATTTGGGGCAAGATATCGTTTGGTGAGCGCAGTCATGGGTGGTTGTGACCAGCCATGAATGCATGGGATAGCTGAGGGTCTGGAGTCAGCATCCCAGGGGGAAGCAGGTCTGAGCAGAAACCAAAGAAGTAAAAAGGAAACTCCCTTCTCCAAGAAAGTATAAGGAAACGCCCCTTCTGGGTTTCCTCTGAGGAAGGGTTAGAAAATGGGAGTGATTATAGCCTTGAAAGGAAGTTGCGGGAGGCAGAGGTGGAAGACCTAGCTGTCACATATACTGTCCTGAACCCTTGGGATCTTATACCATTTATGTTCTCCCAATGAAAACAGTAACCATAAAATCAGCTGATCATTTGTTTGTTTAGTTATGAGACCAAGTCTTATTCTGTAGCCCAGGCTAACCTGGAACTTACATTGTAGCCCAGGCTGGCCTCAAACTTAAGGCAGTCCTGCCTTAGCCTTGTAAGTACTGGGATTGCAGATGTGAACCACCACCCCTAACTGTATTTATTTGTTTATATATGTATGTATTTACCTGCTTATTTATTTATTTATTTATTTATTATTTATTTATTTATTTATTTATTTAATTCATCTTGAGACTGTGTCTTAGTGTATTGTCCAGGCTGGCTTCAACTTCCTGGGCTCAGAGATGCTCCTGCCTCAGTCTCCCATGCAGAGGGTGACAGATGTGTGCCACTGTTTCAGTTCTTCCTTTGAAAAGTCTGTGAAAGGATTTCAGATTAAGAGCTTGACATCCTGCTATGTGGGTGGGACTTCCCAGGGAAGCCAAGTAGCCTGCCTGTGGTATAGACTGTTAATTATACACATCATAACAAACGAAGCCAGCTTTGAGAATGTACCACTCAGTAAGTGATTCATTATACTGCTGAGAAACTGAAAATGGATTTGAAATCTGTCCATCTTCCCTCAGTGAGTACTTTGTTCAAAGTCATAAATATGTAGTTGGGCTCTAATTCTGATAATACCAGTAATAACAATAATGATGTTGATAATGGTGACTTGAAACCCTCCCCTTGCCTGAGAGACCAGGAGGCTGTGCAAAACCGTGCAAAGTTTTCTTCTCCTGGGCTCAGGCCAGAGGGAAAGAGAAGGGTTGGACTTTCTACTGGCTATTTTCTAGAAGCTGTGGAACTGTGGTGTGGAGGCAGTTGCCCCTGCCAGCCTCTGCTCTGGGTGGGCCCTGCCGCTGACTCCTAGGCCCGGGCAGTGACCTGCTGTAGGGTGTCTGCTGAGGGAACATCCTGGTTGTGCCTTGTATTTGCAGTTCATCCAGTGGAACATCCACAAAAGCGGCCTCAAGGTGTCTGAGTACGGCCTCCCCTCTGATGCCACAGGCCCCTTTGTCCTGTCCGGCTACAGCGGCTACAAGCAGGTTCAAGTCCCTAGGGGCCGGCTCTTCGCTTTTGACTCAGAGGGCAATTACATGCTCACATGCTCTGCCACTGGAGGTGTCATCTACAAGGTAACTGGGTGGTGGAATTTTGGAGGGTAGGGGGCTCCTCCCTGCAGGCTAGCTGTGGCTGAGTTGAGCTGAGCTGAATGTGGCCCTGTGTCCTGCTCTCTGCATAGCTGTGGAGAAAGAAGCCCATGGCAGGGCAGACCAGCACCTGGAGCCTACTGGCCTCAGGCTGATGGGGTTGGTTCTCAGCTCAGCTCTGGGAGGGAAGGGAAGATGGGGCAGAATGCAACACGTATCCATCCCATCTTCCTTCTGCTTGTCTATTCGCTGTTCTTGACAGGATCCTGTGCTTTTCTTGTTTCTGTTCCACTGGAATGGTGCCCATTAGAGAGGACATTAGGGAGCAGGGCGAAGGGTTGGAGAGTTTGAAGGTCAGGGGGAATGTGCCTCACAGACCTGAATGAGGTGATTTGCTTCTGTCACTCTGATCTGGAGTAAGTTATTTCATAGGCAGTCCATGGGTTAAGTCACTATTATCCATGTGTGAGACAGATTTGAGGGTATCCTTTGTCAAACTTAGGATGCAAGTTGTCTACCTAGTTTTTTTCTTAAATGTATTTTTACTTATGTGTATGTCTGTGTATGTATATGCACATGTGTGGTGGTACCCAGAAGAGGGCATTGGATCCCCTGGAGTTTACAGGTGGTTGTGAGCGGCCCAACGTGGGTACTGGGAGCTGAACTCTGGTCCTCTGCAAGAGCAGTGACTGCTCTTAATAACTGAGCCATCTCTCTAGTCTTGTTTTTGTTTTAAAATTTTTATTATGTTTATATGTGTGTCTATGTTTATGTTTAGGTGGGTGCTTGCCGTAGTGCATATGTGAGGTCAGAGGACAACCTGTGGGAGTCATTTCTCTCCCTCTATCATAGGAGTCCCAAGTGTCAAACTCAGGTCATCAGGCTTGGCAGTATGTCTTTCCCACTGAGCCATCTCGTTGGCTTGTCCACATTGTTTTTGTTCTTCAGAGTATATATGTGGATTTGGTATAGTTTATGAAATTTTAAGCACCACCTTTTATCATCCAGTGGATGAGTGATGAGGATTTGAGTGTAGCCTAAGCTCACATGGCTGCGGCTCTAATGCTTAGTGTTCATTTGTAGTACTTGCCTGCTGCTGATGGTGTTTGTCTGTGAGACTAAGGAGTCCAACAAGGTGAAATTGTCTCAATGTCTCTCATTGCCACTGCCTATCAGTCAGTCAACAGTACGGGGGTTTTGTACAGCAGTTGTATGTCAGGCCTGGCACTCAGCACTGTGGAGAGCACCAGAGAGATAGATGTGCTCTTCTGGGGCTCATACACAAGTTATGAGACACAGCACTGAGTGGGCCGTAGATGGTGAGGCCTTGACAGTTCCCAGAGAGGGAGCTGGGGGGACTGAGTTCTCAGGAAGACCCAAAGGGAAGCTGCAGTCCATAGATTGGAAAGAGGAGGAGTTGGAGATAGGGAAGAAGACAGGTCTTGGGCCTGGGAATCGGCAGAGGTCAGCGAGGAACTCTGCATGTGGGACTCTTGAGTGTGTTCCGAGCTGGGAACAGAGGAGGTTTCAAATTGCCGGATGCATGCACAGTGAAACTGGGGTTTGCCATCAGTGGGGCTTCTCTTTGTGCAGAGGGCGTTATTGTGCTGTTTCCTGGCCTCTCTTCAAGTTAGCTGCGTAATTTCTCCTAACTCTGGGTCTCTGTGGAGACACTGTATAAGGCTCTCAGTTCACAAGCCTTATTTTCTCCGTCAAGCTTTGTTTCAGTTGCGTTTCAGGTGGACTGTACTTTGCTTTTCACAGGGAGGAATGCTTGTCTATGCTCTATTTTAAATTGTATGGCCTTTCCCCTGATCAGTTTATGTGATTTGCAGCCAGACTCCCCCTGTAATCAGGTGATGATGGGTTGAAAGACTTTATGTAATTTTTAAAATGTCAAGAGTGGGTCCACCTACTTAGGGAATCTGACCATGAGATTCCATTTTTATCATCTGTAAAAAGTGATAGATGGTGATTTTTTATGGTGATTTCTGCATGAAGACTGAACCCTTTCTGCCTCGTGCTCACAGATGTCACCTGGAGTGTTGCTGGCTTGTCAGGCTTCTTCTTCCCAGTGCCTGGCAGCACCTGGTCCTTCACATGTGCATGATTGCTGGAAGAAGGGGGCTTAGGGGCAGCTTCAGTCATGTACTAATCAAGGCCTTCCTGTGCCAGGTCCCATTTGGTGTGCGGCAGGCTGGTCAACTATAGGAGAGCTAAGGCCCTGCGTTCACATCCCCATGGTGGAATGTGTACCTTAAACAAACAAGCAGGTACACAGTCTAGGCTAAGCCAGTGACAGGTGATGCTGTGGGGGAAGAGGCAGGTAGGTGCACCCATGCCAGTCAAGGCAGCAGAGGAAGTACCATCTTTTGAGGAGCTTCTCAAGGGCTTGATTTCCAATAAGGTGAACTGAATGCAGTCAGGAAAGTGCAGACATTCAATAGTCTTTCTAGAAAGGTGGGAGTATGGGCCTGGCTACATCCTCAGGTTGGTTTGGGCCCCAAAAGTAGATGAAGTGGGTGTTTGTAAGTGCTGTCTGCTAACAGTGCCTCTTTACTCCTGTTATCCTACAGCTGGGCAGGGATGAGAAAGTTCTAGAGAACTGCTTGAGCCTGGGTGGCCACCGGGCCCCTGTGGTCACTGTGGACTGGAGCACTGCCATGGACTGTGGAACATGTCTTACCGCCTCCATGGATGGCAAGATCAAGCTGACTACCCTCCTGGCCCATAAGCTCTGAAGTCTGTGCCTCAGGTGACACCATGGAAGCAGTATTGTCCCGGGGTGGAGGAGAGACAACAGCAGAACAGCACAGTACCTCGAGCACCCACTGCCAGGGTTGATGGATCATCAGGCAACAACTGTTGAGGGGCCTTAGCCCCATCCTCCGGCAGCAACGGAGTGGGAGCCTGTGGAGCAGCCGGCGTGTGCTTCCTAGAGACTGAGAGTATGGCTGGGGCAGAGCATGCTCTCCACAGGATGGAAGCTCAGGAAGGAGATGGGGGTGGGGGCTGCGCTGGCCCAAGTACTGACAGTATTTTATACATAATGGCTTATTTTAATTTTTAAAGAAGCAAAAGAGAGAGAGAGAGAGAATGGTCTTGCAGTCACCTGGTGTCTTTTTCTTGGATGTGTGAGTCACTGTCCTGTGAGTGCCATGGACTCCCTGCCTTGGTTCCTGCACCTCAGCTCCGACTCCTGTCAGCAGCCAGGGGCAGAACCTCATCAGATCCCTGTGGCTTTGTCAGAGTTGGGGTGTGGGCTGCAGCACCCTCTTCTGGGTTTAAGTCAAAGTCAGAGTGCCTTCCAGGCGACCTAAGAGCCGGTGACTTTGATTATAGAAGCTTCTCCAGACAACAGCAGAACTTGGGCCCTCAGCCTCTGGCTGTCCCTCTGCATCAGGCGTGTCTGGTCCTGGCACTTCTCATATGGTGGCTCCCTTATTTAACTTCAAGTGTGAAGTCTCAGAGGTTGAACAGTACCAGCTGCCTGTGTTATCTGCCTGGCTGAGCTGAGGCTGGACCAGCTGTTTCTGCACCCCTGCACAGCCTGCTCTCTGTTCACTGGTTGAGGGTACCTTGAAGAGGCAGCTTCTCCCACAGTGGGGGAGGCAACCTTCCTATCATTCCCGCATCCCACAGCTGAGGCCAGGCTCACGTAGGAGCCACTATAGGGGCAGTGAGCCTGGGTCTGGGCCTCCCACACTTGGCAGGAATGACCTTGTCACCTACCTAGGGAAAGCCACTTCCATGAACAGTTACTGCTTGGAATAGTCATTTGAGAAGTCCTTTGGGCTCCAAACTAGTTGGGCATGGGTCTGATGTGGGGTAACTCCCAGTTGTCCACATTGGGAAAAGCAGGAAGATATTGAGGCCTGGGCTTCCTTCTGTTAGGGCTGGGGGGAAGGCAGGAGACACATATCTATGTGGGCCAATTATGAAGAAACATTAGAGTTGTAAATAATGACTTATTATTTATTATTCTTATAGGGGGAGCATACATGCCCTGGTGCACGTGTAGAGGTCAGAGGGCAACTTGGAGTTGGTTCTCACCTACCTTTTATGTGGGTTCTAGGGATCCAGCTCAGGTCATCAGGCTTTCATGGCAAGCACCTTTAACCGACAGGCCATCTTTACCTATTTTTACCATTTCCACACTGAGCTGGAGAGGTCAGTTCTCTACCTGCCGTTTCCCACTCTGTGGCATGGAAACAGCCTTGTCTTTCTCAGATGCTGTTAGACACAAAATGCTCCTGAGGTTCCTTTGAATTGAGAGCTCATTGTTTACCTTTCCCTATTATCTCAGATTTTCTGTCTTCTGACCCATTCTCTTCTCAGTGCAGTCCCCACAGCTTGCCTTAGTAGCTTTTAAAAAACTTATTATTTTTATTTTATGTGTATGAGTGTATTGCCTGCATGTATGTGAGTGTACCTGTGTCGTGCAGTGCTGCAGAGGTCAGAGGAAGGCGTCGGATTCCCCTGGAACTGGAGTTAAGGACAGTTCATAGCTGCCACATGGGTGCTGGGAATCGAACCCGGGTCCTCTGCAAGAGCAGTCAGTGCTCTTAACCACTGAGCCATCTCTCCAGCCCCTTACCTTAGTAGCTTTAAGGATCACAGAGACACAGGAACACTACAGAACCTGGTGTTCCTCCCTGTCCCATCCCTCTAGGAAGAGTATTCATCTTCAAACATGTTGAAGCTTCCGTCCTTCAAAGTACCTGCTTGGAATCCACCTGAGAATCTTAGCAAGGCTCTCTCCTTCACTGTCTTGGGTGAGGGTGTCATGGAAGACGAACGTCAAGGCAGGCCAAGCCTTAGGTCCCAAGCCTGTGCCCCTTGGAGTTGAGCTTCTGGCTTGTGCTGAAAACCCGGCAGGTGCAACTTCCCATTTCCCTTCTCAAGACCTTTCTGTGCTCAGCCCCAAATCTAGTACCCGTGTGTGGCATTCAGATGCCCAGGAGTTCACATGGGGTCTGGAATTACAGTATAAATACATTGAGGACTGACTAAATGAAGCTGACTGACATTTCTTATAATAACTACATATACTTTATCTGTCAGTTTACAAATAATGAAATGAGTGCATACCTTTAATACCAGCACTCAGGAGGCAGAGGCAGTGGATGTCTCTGAGATGAAGGCCAGTCTTGTCTCCATAGTGAGTTCCAGGTTAGCTGGTGCTACAGGGAGACCTGTCTCAAAAAACTAATAATAATAATAATAATAATAATAATAATAATAAATAATAATAATGGTCGGGGCTGGAGAGATGGCTCAGCAGTTAAGAGGACTTGCTCTTGCAGAGGACCCAGGTTCAATTCCCAGCACCCACATGACAGCTAACAACCCTCCATAACTCTAGTTCCAGGGCCTCTGATGCCCTCTTCTGGCTTCCATGGACATGGCATGCATGTGGCTCAGCCGTTAAGAGCACTGACTGCTCTTGCAGAGGACCTGGTGGCTATGAACCGTCCTTAACTCCAGTTCCAGGGGAATCTGAAGCCCTCTTCTGACGTCCGTGCACATGGGTGCACTCACATACATGCGGGCAATACACTCATAAATAGCCAGGAGTGGTGGTACACGCCTTTAATCCCAGCATCCGGGAGGCAGAGGCAGGCGGATCTCTGTGAGTTCAAGCCAGCCTAATCTACATAGTTCCAGGACAGCTGGGGCTACAGGGAGACCGTGTCTCAAAAAGACCAAAAATAAAGATAAATAAAAATAAAATATTTTTTTTTAAAAAAAGATTGAGGATTAGCAGTTAAGAAGAGCCAGGAAAGGGCTGTGGAGAAACTGGTACCACAGGAGAAGCTGAATGCCCTGTTCCAGCAAGGAGATTCCAAACTTCGTGTGCCCCTGGGACCCATAGTAACTGTTGCATGATAACAGATGTGCTGTAAACCGCATTTCAGTGACTCTTGATTTCTCGTTTTGGGGAGAGTATCAGATCCTGTCATCCCTTTGCCTCAGAATGCCTGGCAGAGTGTCCCCCGTGACTGCTTGCACTGAGGTTTTCATTGGGTCTGCCAGCTGCTGAATGCTTTCCTGATCTCCTGGCTGCACTAAAGCCATGCGTGTGAGTTTAAGTGATGCCAACACTAGCTAGCTGAAAGCCAGCAGGACACCTGAGCAGGTAGGTGGCGGGAACTTGGGCGGTCTACCTGAAAATGTTAGTGAAGTGGCAGGAGCCTCCTCCTGAGATGTGTTGAGCGTGGCTTCTGTGGGGATCCCCCTGGAGGACTGTCAAAAACACCCCCTCAGCCCCTCTTCCTTAACCAGGGCTTGACTATCAACACTCACTTCCTAAAAGACCACCACCGCTTACTCCATGGCAGCCCGCAAAATCCCTGGCGCCCGGTCGTGTCACGTGGCCTACAGGGGGCGTCCCGGGCCCCGCGAGTCTTCCCGAAGCCCTAACCCGAGCGCGCAGGGCGGGGCCTGGAGGGAGGGGCCGGAAGCGGCGGGCTGTGCAACCCCGTGGCGGGACTGGCTGCAGCTTGCGCCACCTGCACCGGGGTTCCCACGCTCCTCCGGAAGGCTGTCTAGCCGCGCGCGCCACGGCTGATCGGTGGGTCCAGTCCCTGGGCGCTGGCGCGTGCGCACTCTGGAGGTCGGAAGGAGCTGCGCGTTGGGTCCCGGCCTGCGTATCCAGGCTAGCCCGTGCCTTCTCGGTGGACTAAGTGAGCAGCGGATTATGAACGAGGATTGCCGGAGCATCTCGCTCCCGCCTGGCTTCCGTTCCACCCAGAGGCCGGCGGCTTTTGGTGAGATTTTCCAGGGTTCCAATGGCCCGACTCTCTAGAGCACTGAGCTCCGGAAACGGTGCTGGAGGGTGCTGCTGCCTGTTAGCCCGGCGGGCAGGCCTCAAGGCTTGCAGTCTGCTGCACCTGGCTGTTGTCTCAGATGGTTGATTTCCAACTTTTGCGACTTCGTCCAAGTTAACTACGTTTCAGTTCCTCGTCTGTAAAATGGACGTCATGTTAAGATTGTCAGGCCCAATAGATTCTGGATCCATAGAGATGCCGCAGCCATTCACTAGATAGTATTCCTGTTATCTACATCCCGAGTAACCCAGAAACGAAGGTACATTGCTAGAGCTCTGTCCTGTTGACAGCATAGGTTAGGATGACGCCCTCCTAGTTTTTTAAAGCTGTAACCAGCCATTCTGGATGGATAAGCCAAAATTAAGTCGCGCGCGTGTGCGTGTGTGTGTGTGTGTGTGTGGGGTGGCGGCATTGGCTAATGGCGTCTGTGAATCAGTTAGCCTTAAGGGTTCTAGTAACCAAGTCACTTTAGAAGAGGTGAGAAATCTGTTAGAAATGACAGATCATTGACGAGGGTTTAGGGGTCCTGAGGAGAGGAGGGGACATCAGAAGGCTCCTCCTTCCTTTCTTCTGGAGGTACTGGCTGGTTACATTAGTGACCACAAGGTGGCAGTTCTGGTTTGAATTGGCCACCTGTATGGGAGCAGTGGGCAGTCACAGGGTCTTGTCTTCTGGCCCCTGTCTGCTACAACTCCTCCAACTTGATATACTACAGATGGTCCCATGAGCCTTCTGGGCTCTACCCACCTCTGTGTCACGTCTGACTAGTAATGGTAGCTGGTGACTAGAAGGGTTTTGTTCTGGCTTATTTGAATCAACTGACTTGGTTCTTTCTTACAGGTGTTAAAGATTGGCTCCCAATGGGGACAAATAACCTGGTGTACTGAGAGTGGAATCTGGGGTCCTGTGTCAGAAGCCTCTCCTCACCCCTCTGTGGGAAACTGTAGCAATGGAAACCTTAAAATCCGAGACGATGAAGAAGAGGGTCCTTCCCTCATGGATGACAACCCCTGTGGATGAGAGGGAGGTGGTGCCAGTGAAAATACGCAAGAGGAGGAGAATGGTGGCTGTGCCTATGGGGGCTGCAACAAGGTGGGACAAGCTGTGGTCAGGGCACTGGGGAAGATCAGAAGGGGAGGAGGGGCTTCTCAGCAGCTTGCCTGGGGTTTCAGAGTGGGCAGGGAAGTGAGGTAGGCTGCATCCCTACAACAGTGTCTTGAGGTCTCAGGTGTCCCTCACAGATTGCACCCACCTGTGTCTGTGCTGGTACAGTCCCGCCATCTAGTGTTGGCACAGACAGTGGATTCTGCACACAAACCATGTCTTCAGGAGCCAGTTGTTTGACATGCTAGTCTCTTCATTTGTGACAAAAATTATAAGAAGGCAGGATCAGGGGCTGGAGAGATGGCTCAGGGATTAAGAGCACTGGCTGCTCTTGCAGAAGACCTGAGTTCGAATCCCAGCACCCACATGGTGGCTAACAACCACCTGTAACTCCAGTTCCAAGGGATCCAATGCCCTCTTCTGTCCTCGGAGGGAGCTGTATGAAGTGCATTTACATATATGCAGGCTTAACACACACATAAAGTTTTTTTAAAAGGCAAGATCAGTGGACTTGAATCCTAGTCTCCTGAATGGTGCCTGCTTTCCCTATGGATAGAGCTTTGTGGACGGACAGCAAGAAATCAGTAGCTGTGGGCATGGGTTAGGTGAACATTGGTGATTGGGGTGGTAGGGTCTTAGGTTGTCAGTACCAAGCTGGAGGGACCAGCCCTGCTGTTCTCTTAGATGGGACACTGCACCCTCAGTGCTCTTCTCTCTGACTCTTCTTTAGCCGGCTGCTGCCTTTGTAGATGTTATAGTGTTTGTTCTCAGTATATTCTCATATTCAGATACATTTCAGCCCTGGCTTAATGGCCTGTATCTGCATGTGTCTGCTGTGTGTTTCAAGGGGTGACTCTCAGAAACCAGCCATACCCACTTCCCAGTTCCCTGTGAGGGAGTTCTTAGTTTACCGAGGGTGGGAAGCCCTGTACCCTGTCACTGGGCTATAAGGCTGAGGAAGTTCCTCAGTTCAGAGGAGTAGTAGCTCTTGCCCCAGATGGGGGATGCCCCTTGTTCTCCTATCCTTCCTCCTTGTGAGACCCTCAGTCCTCAGCTGTGGCTTTGTGTCTTTGTTTCAGAGCCCCCTCCACGAAGACCGTGTACTGCATGAATGAAGCTGAAATGGTGGATGTGGCTCTAGGGATCCTGATTGAGGTAGTGTCAGCCCTGTGTCTTCTGACTCCTGTGACTGGAGGTTATTCGTGGGCAGAAACTAGCATAAGTCCTTGTTCATGGTCACAGTAGTAGCTTTAGACTGTCTTAGGATCCCACATGTACCCCTGCCCCTTGCCCACTCCTTAGCCATGTTCTCCTCAGCCCCTTCCTGTGTGTGGTATTGTGTGGGGGTACGCACCATGCAGAGAGCCTTAGGGCTAACTCCCTTGTGTGAGGGAGAGCAGGGCCATCTGTGGGTAACTCTATTGGCATGTGTGTGGAGGGAACATGAAGTGTTTACTTAGAAAAGGATACCAGTGGGGTGAGAGGACTTAACCAGTCCTTCTCTCCTTAGCAGAGTGCTGTGGAAGTTCCTGACTTCCTGAGGTATTAATGGCACCACCACAGAGTGCTGCTTTTCCAGGCGCTCTAAGCCAGTATGTCATCTCATCAGTGTTCACAGTAATCCAGTGCTGTAGTAATTTAAAATATTGCTAGCCCTGAGAAATTGACTCCAGGATTTTGCCCAAGTTCTGTAGCCAGTTAGTGCTGGAGCTAGTTAGGCCATAGCAGGTTTTGTAATCTGGGTTACTTGGACTCTCTTGCTTTGCCTTTCCAGCCATGTTTTTCAGTTGGCTTTTTAAAAAATTATTTTTATTTCATGTGTATGCATATATTGCCTGCATGTAGGTAAGTGCACCTGTGTCATGCAGTGCCTGCAGAGGACAGAAAAGGCTGTCGGATCCCCTGGAACTGGAGCTTCGGACAGTTGTTAGCTGCCATGTGGGTGCTGGGATTCGAACCCAGATCTTCTATAAAAACAGCCAGCGTTCTTAACCACTGAGCCATCTCTCCAGCCCTCAGCTGGCTTCTTTTTGTTTCTTTCCACTTAGCTGTTCCTCATGTCCTGGCCTGCATCTCTCCCTAGTTGGTCCTGAGCCTGAGGTGTGGGGAGCAGTGGGGTGAAGAGAGGGCAGGCACCATGAGGTGGGAGCAGTGCCTGGCCTGGTCACGTGCTGTGCTGGCTTTGCACTGACTCTGGGTATGTCCATGTCACTGACAGACAAGTTAGTACATCTGGGAAAAAAAGCTGCTTGTGTTGAGCCTGTTATTTCTTCTGCCCTGCAGAGCCGCAAACAGGAAAAGCTGTGGGAACAGCCCTTTCTGGCGGATGCTGATAAGCTGCAGCTCTCCCCCTCCAGCTCAGAGTCCCCACACACCAATTCCCCTAGGAGCGGCAGTGAGGAAGAAGACAGCAGGGAAAACTCGCCTGTTCTAGGCCTCAGCCCTTCCCAGGGGCCAGGAACTTCCAAGTCGACCTGTAGCCCGAGCCCCGAGGAAGACAAGGACGAGGAGGAAGATGTGTTAAAATATGTCAGGGAGATATTTTTCAGCTAAAGTATGAACTGTTCTCTGGACTTTCTGCTGAGAGCAGTGGGGTCTGCTGCGCTGTCCCTACTTCTCCCCGGGGAAAATGAGGCTAAACTTCCAACTTTGAGCCTCCCTGGGGCCAGATAGATTGTCTTAAGTCAGAAGCCCCAGGAGGTTTTCAACCTTGGGGCCTACTCTGTTAGAGGGTAGAAACCTTGCAGAATGTAGAACCCCATCCCATGAGAGTCCAACCCTGTACTGGCTCAGAGGGCCTGGAAGCACAGTCCTGTGTTTTATTCAGGTTCCAGGTTCCAGTGAAAATGAGTTCATGGGCTCAGCTTGTTGGAAGCCAAAACAAAATGACTGCTACTACTGGCATTTCCATGGCTTAGGCAGCCAGATCACCCTAAGGAGGAAGCCTGTGACCGTCTCCATTATGACATAGCCCAACAGTGGATTCCCACCCTTCCAGGCCCTGAATGTCAGCAGCTGGCCACAGATCCCTACCAGCCTAGGAGCAGGAGACTCTCCCCTGCAGACTGGTGAGCCACATGTGCCTTCTCCCCGACCTGTCCCTTTCTTCTACCTGGGGCCTCTGCCTTGGTCCCTGGACAGCTGTGAAGGGAGAATGGGACAGGAGTCCATGGGAGATGCTAAGACAAAAGATCATGCCAGAACCTGTGTTTTTTTTTTTTTTAATTTAGTGTGGCTTTAGACAAGCACAGAATGAGGAAATTGTTGCTGTATAGGATTTCTAATACACAGGCACTGAAAAGTACATAAAAATGCCCCAATGCTAAGTGCTTCTGTCTTCTGTCCTTTCCAGTTCTGGGTGAAGTGAGGGGATGCATCTGTGTGTGTGTGTGTGTGTGTGTGTGTGTGTGTGTATGTATGAGACTTGAGTCCCATTTACGTCCTTTAAGGCCTTGGCACATCTTGCGTCTGCATTCCTGGGTCATGAGAACAATGATTTGGCAGCTGACTGCTACTCTGTCTGGTTCAGGGCCCTTTTCTTCGAAGCTAGCAAGGCTTCTCTTTATGCCCTGTGTTTCTTTGCTGAATCCCTCAGAGGTGGTTCCTTGGCTTTTGGGATGGAATTGCAATGTGGGTCTCATCACAGTGGAGGGAGACGCTTGCTTCCCAGGGCTTGAGGTTCAAGTGCTCTCTTAGAACAGTCTGATTTGTTACCATAAGCCTTCATGGGGCTCCAGTTTGGCACTTTGGCAAATCAGTTTGGAAATCTGGCCCCTGACAAAAATCCTTAACTCCCACCCTCCTGAGGCTATGGTGAGAATTGCCCAGATAGATTAATTAAAGTAGGAATTCCCCTGAGAATGAGCTGAGTGGTTTTAGAGTCCTTGGAAGTCCTAAAGGACGGATCCTACACTAAAGGCACAGGTACCCTTAACCACCCATGCTGACTCAGTCTCCAGGACACCACAGCCCTTCTGCTCAGAGGGTGGTTCCATCTGTCAGAGCTCAGAGATAAGCATTAGGTATGAAACAAGATGGAGAAGACCCACCAGGGGCCACAGGTTCTCTGGCACCTTCTCTGAGAATAGCTGAACCCTTGTAATCCCATGAACCTTTAGATGGGACTAGCAGCTCTCCAGCTTGCTCACGTCCTTCTTGTCCCTTGGAGGGAACATAACTGTGGACATGAGCAAGAGGATAAGCAATGCCTGGGCCAAGCACAGAGCTAGAAAGCCAGGCCCCAGGAAGGACAGCCTGACCCACTTCCACACATAGGAGAGGAAAAGGCCCAGGCCGCTGGACAGCAGAACAGAGGATGCCACCAGGAAGCCCACTGCTAGCTGCCACTCTCCTTCATCACCCTTGCACTGGGCGAGCAGTAGAGGCAGGGGGACAAAGAGTGTAAGGACCAAGGCCCCATACACACCAAATCTGGCCAGGGCTAGGCCAACCCGAGGCACCCCTAAGGCTTCTAGCTCAGGGAAGTGGTAACATTGTAGGGAGCCAGTGTCCTCCTCCCACAGACAGAAGTTGTAGAAGCCAATTCTCAGGTTGGGCAGGTCAGTGAGGTTGCCAGCCTTCCAGAGGAGCGCGTAGAACATCAGGAAGAGGACCACGGCTACGAGGACCATGATGCCCACGAAGGGCAGGTAGTTGCTCCTCCATGGCCTGGTGATGGCCATCTCGTCTGCCCTTTGCAGGGGTACCTGGGAAAAATCACCCAACAACCAATGAGTCTCCAGCCCTTTTCTCACAGATCCTCCCGTATCTTTAGTAGCCTGATCTTCTACTCATGAGCCCTCACTTGGGCCCCTGGTTTGAGGTCAGGCAGGTCTGGAGGCCTGAAGTGTCCTGAGTGTGAAGGACAAGCCTCACTGTTAGTGGGGGCTACAGCTGGGTGTAGGTGTTGCAGCAGGACAGGGCCTCAGTCCTCCCCATGCTGTTACCTACGCAGGACCTGAAAACTACACAGCTAGGCCACAGATCAGTCAGATCAACGTCTGTGTTCGGGGTGTGCACTGGCCTGACAGCCAAGCTCTGAAGCTCATTTGAACGTGTGTCTGAGTGAAGGAGCACTGCAGCCTGCTCTGTGACATAAGGCGCCTGCCCTGCTCTGGGAACATCTTAGTTGGGGAAGACAAGATCTCACTTGGGATGAAATCACACCATCACACTCAGTGCTTTCAAAACATCTGATTTTTTTTTCTTTCTCATAATAACATCAACCTACTAATTCTAGGAAATTTGGGAAATAATTTTTAATTATTTAAAACTATTTTAAATAGTTTTTTAAAGAAAAAACCCCTTTATCCTACCATATAAGTAAAAAATTTGTTAATATTCCACAAATATTTCCCCTTATGTGAGTTTTTAAAAATATTTTGTTCTTTTTATTTTATGTATGAGTGTATTGCCTGCCCGCATGTATATATGTATGTACACCCATGTTGTGCAATGTCTGGAGGTCAGAAGAGGGCATCGAATTCCCCTGGAACTGGAATTATGGATGATTGTTACCCACCGTGTGGGTGCTGGGAATCGAAACTGCTCTGCAAGAGTAGCCAGTGCTCTTAACTGCTGAGCCATCTCTCCGGCTTCCTTGTGTGTCCCATAATAGTGCATGTCACAGCAGCTCATTACAAGCTATTATCTGACAAGGCTTTTCTACTTTTATTTTTTTTTTAACTATTTTGTGATAGTGATGATCCTTGTATAACTCTGTTTGAAATCTGATTTTCTTCAGGTTAGACATCCAAAAGTGTGGCTGTTGGGACAGTGATAGACATATCTTAGTGATCTTACTACATAGTGCCAGACTGACCTACAGAAAACTTAGTAATGCAGTCCCTTTAGGTGTATGCAAAAGCACCTAGTCTATTACACTTTCACTGCTTAAAGGAACCTTTTCAATAATCTTTCACTTGGAAGCAATTTTTCAAATCATCTCTAAAATACTGTACACACTGTGCCTTTATGTACATTTCCCACTAAGGGATAAAGTGACCATTTATGCCAGGGACAACTAGGAACCCGCATAAGACACCGGCTCTAAGGCCCAGATCCCAAGTCCTGTGAGCCTGAGCCAGGAGTTCCATGTGGTGGCCCTGCAGAACAGCTCAGAGACACTATGGATCAGCTTCTCGGGAGATTTCCCTGAACAGCCCTCCCTCCCCTAGCTCACTGGAAGCTCTGTCTGATTCTGTGCACCGACTACATTTATTTTGTAAGACTAGGAAGGGATCAAAAGAGAAAGAATCTCCGCAAGCCTGAGAGAGAATGGGAGAGTGGGAGAGGAGGGGAGGGGAGAAGAGGGGAGGGGAGGACTGTAAGGGAGGGGAGGAGCCAGAACAGAGACTCTGTCCCGACCCGTAGGACAGTTAACGTGGGTTTTTGGAGGGAGGAGAGGGGACGGAAAGGGACAAGAGATGCGAAGAATGGAGACAAGACAGGCTTTCTGATCAAGTCTCATTTATTGATGGAGAAGGAACAGTTTTTATAGAGAGGGAAAGGGGAAAGTTGGAAGGGATAAATCTATTGAGGCAGAGCAATTCTATTAACAGAGCAATTATCATAATTACACCACACCAATTGATCACAGAGTAAATTCCATAGTAACACCACAATTCTATATAGCAAGTTATAAATCAATTAAGAGGTTACACTTGTATGATTACAGAGTAACACCAAAGTTTCTTAGCAATTACAAATGAGGGAGTCTCTCAGGCGTTAAGTGCCCAGGTTAGAACAACATGTTTGTGAGAGGCTTTTAAGTATAGTCATCTGGTTAATCTCAAACCAGGCCAGCCTTGATGTCTGAAAAACAGCTTTGCCAGGAATCAGGTCTTGCTATTTCCTGGGGTAGGGGCCTACGGCTCCCGACAAGACTCAGGGACCATCTCTAAAGTGTTGGCTGCTGATCTCCTCTGACACTTTCATCCAAGGCTCGGGAGACCAGGAGCTAAAGATGCCTTGTTTAAATGTGCTGGAGATGCGAAGCAATGATACTTGCTACAGAAGGATTTATGAGGACTGTAAAGGTAGCTTTAGTCCATATGCCATTGTGTTGGTAAGATGAAAAAATTTACCCCATCTAGCCATGGTATAGAAAAATCTGAACATACTTTTAAAGGTTTTATACATTTAACAAATTTTTGTAAAGCCTATCTCTGTGTTTTTAGAGGGTTTAGGAATTTCAGGATGCAGGACCCCTATTTATACAGCCGTGCTGTAGGAAATAAGGCCTGGCCTGCACTATCCAGGGAAGCCTAGGATGGGAGCTGGGTGCTGTCCTGAAATGCATTCCCTTTTTCTCGTTTGAGTCTTGTGCATTTATGTTAAAAATTTATTATTATCGAGGCCTCTCTCCTACCTGCAGGCCCCTCTCTGTGGTAAATCCATTGCGCCTTCCACACCTTGACTCTCCCACCCTCATTCACCCTCCCATCTCCCCCTCAGGTCTCTCCTAATTTGGGTCCTGTCCCATTCCTTGTCTTCGGCCCCCAGACACCTGGGGAACCAATACTGCTTCCTGATCCTTTTCATCCAGACCAAAATAGTGCCTTCTCTGGGCCCCAGGAGCACTGCTTCTGGGCCTGGCCCTGCCCTCACCTCCCTCTGCTTCCCTGGGCCTATAACCACCCTCCAACCTCTTTCTGAGATAAAAGAAATTCACATGTCAAAATCATAACATGAAAAATCAAAATAACATATCCCCACCAAATACCAATAGTCCTCTAGAGGAGTACAGTGAGATCCTCCTAGAGATAATGCAGGACATGGAACTCAAAAGAACAATTATAAACATGATAAAAGAATTCAGTGAATTTAAAGAACACACACAAAAAA